CCAGAATACAGTTGGCCTTCTGTTGGCAAGCATACATTGCCTGCTCATGTTGAGTCTTTCATCAACCAATACTCCCAAATTCTTCTCCTCAGTGCTGCTCTCAAGCCATTTTCTGCCCAGCCTGTATCTGTGATTGATATTGCACTGATTCAGGTGCAGGACTTTGCACTTGGCCTTGTTGAACTTCATGAGGTTGGCATAGGCCCACTTCCCAAGCCTGTCCAGGTCCCTTTGGATAGCATTCTCCTCTAGCATGTCAACTATGTTACTCAACTTGGTATTGTCTGCAAACTTAATGAGAGTGCATTCAATCCTCCTGTCTGTGTCGCCTACAAAGATATTCAATAACACTGGTCCCAGCAGTGATCTCTGAGGAACGCCACTTGTTGCTGGTCTCAACTTGGACACTGAGCCATTGATCACAACACTCTGAGTGCAAGCACCCAGCCAACTCCTTATCCACTGAGTGGTCCATCCATCAAATCTGTTTTTCTCCAGTTTGGTGATTGAGATACCATGCAGGACAGCGTCAAATACTTTGCACAAGTCCAGATAGCTGGTTGTTCTTCCTTTATCCAGTGATTCTGTAACTCCATCACAAAAGGCCATCAAGTTTGTTGACATGACCTACCCTTGGTGAAGCCATGTTGGTTACCACCAATCACCTCACCTATATTTTCCATGTGCTGTATTTACATTTCCTGCAGTAGTCAGATGGTTCTTTCCCAGGAATGACTGTAGAAATCAGAGCAAAACTGGATGTGAGCAGAGAGCCTGACAAATGAAAAACAGGTCTGGGTGATTCTGACTCTCCAAAGTTGGATTTGGTTTTGCCTCTTTACCTATTTGGCAGTCATTTCTGCTGCCTTGCCTTTTGTGCACAAAGCAGGTGTAAAAAAAAAGTATCAGTGGTGTATTTTCTTCTTAACGGGCTTTTCTGGATACATGCAAGTGTGACCATAAACTGGCAATTACAGAAAATATGCTTTAAGAGCCTGTCTTATTTGATCTTTTGAAGGAAGGGCTCATGCAGTGCCCCAGGAGGTCTTCATTTTCTTGTGCTCTCTTGGCCAGGCTTTGTTACCTGAACAGTTTACCTTGAGGAGTACCTTTGCATTCCCAGTATCTTTGTTCCTGCGTACACACCTGGTTGTGTCTTCCTCTGCTTTGCATGCAGAGTCTGACTCACAGCACAGCAGGCAGCTGGCAGGTGCTGAGAGCAGCGTGCTTAAATGGGTTCAGGTTTTTGCATGTGGCAGAATTTTGAGGAACGTAATGATGCAAAGTGACCTTTTATGTTTTGTTTCTTGTCAGCTTTGTAAATAAACGGGAGTTTTCAGGAGAGCTTTCTGCTTAGTGTTGTTTCCAATTGCAATAAAGATACTGATTGCTGAGAGACTGTTGAAATCTAGATTTCTAGTTTACCTACTTACCAAAGGGTAAATAAGGATGGAATTTAGTGACTTCTGATGGAGCTATAAGCTTTTTGCTTTCTTTTAAAAAAAAGAAAGTCCACATTTGTTGTCCAGTTTATGAACAAAGAAATCCCACTTTATTTTTTTTTTTTTAGACACTATGAGTTGTTAAGCTAAACTGTAGCTAAAGGAGACAGCATTGGAGTTGAGAATGATTTGTACTATTCTGTTCTATACTCCAGATAATTTGTTTTATTCTCCCTTGAAAACTACTCTTGTTTCTCAAGGAAGCTTAGAGAAGTGCTGAGTATGATGGACCCAGAGATCAGCAGTTCTCAGAAAAGTAAAAACTCTAGGCTATAGACTTCTGAGTTCTGTAATATGGCTTAGAAGGTAAAACAGTGATATTGGACACTACTGAGTTGCTGGTAGCTGGGGGTCTGGATCTTGTTTACAGTAGCCTTGGGTGCTGAGAAAGAGACTCTCCAGTCATATCAGTCCAGCTTGGAAAGTGAGACCAGTGAAATATTAGTTCTGACATTCCCTGCTGTGATTTTGGCTTAGGTGGTTAATCAGCTAAACACTTCCCAGGCAAGCAGGTAAGAAGCTCCAACTGTTGTCAAGTTGTAACTGTGCTTTAAATCAAGACCTTTTCTTTGTATTCCAGAAAAAGAGTCATGAGTTTGTAAAACCTATCCTTGAACCTAGTCAAGTCCCCCCCATAATCTCCGATCAGCTTTGTTGCAATTTAGTGAAGCACTTAAGTGATTGTGTTCAAGTTTGTTTGATTTAATCATACTCTGGAGAAATGTCTGCTGAAAAGAGCTGCTGTCTGAACTGGGGTCTTGGGAAACAGCCATGAAATGACAGAGCAGGTGCTGGGCTGTTCACATCTGCCACTGGTTGCAAACTATGGGAGAAGGAAAGTAATCTCTGTATCTTGAGAAAGCCCAGCAGATACTGGGAATATGCTAATGCATAAACAGTGTTGGAAAGAGAATGCAAAGCAGCTCTGAAAGGCTCGTGCATTCAGTGGCCAATGCACAGCAGTCTCTGCTGGAGAGGTGGGTTGAGGGGTCCTGTTTGAGTGCGGATGCATCACCATTCCTTAAGAGTCTGCTCACCAAGTTCTCAGTGAACATGTTCTGTACACAGCTGCCTGAGCTGCGGATACTTTCTAAGGTTTGCTCTTCCATTTTGCAAATAGTGGAGACTTGCTGAGAGGTTGCATTTGACGCTCCATGGGGGACACAGTCCTGTTTCCAGTATATGCCATATGACTGGATTGTTGTATGTTACTCTCTAAAGAAGGAAAATGGAGTCTGGCTCAAATGTAAAGATTGGGACAAACACATGTCACTTTCCACAAGGCAAAAGCCTGGAGCATTTGTTGTTCCTTCACCAATCTGGAGTTCTGCTTTTATGTGTCTTGCTCTTTGGCTGCAATGATCCTTAGAGACCTCCTTAGCAGCAAAATCCATAAAAAGCAATACTGCACAGGGCAGGTGTTCGTTTTCAGAAATTGTGACCTAATCTGATATTTGGGCCAGAGGGCAACGAGAGGCATTTCTAACACCTGAGGGCAGGCTATGTTGTAAAAGGCTGTCCAGCCAACTGGGGGAAAATTCTATCTCTTTACCCTGTACTGAGAAATAGCTTTCTGTCTTCAAACTATCGGAGAACACTTTAATAGTAATAGAGGAAAAAGGCCAAGTAAAAAATAATAACAATGCCTTAATTAAATCATTGGAAGTGTTGTGGCTTTTAATTTGAAGTACTGGGCAACCACAGGCAGTCAGTGCTGCTTTTCTGCTTATGTGGAAAAATGGACTGCTGGCTGCTGGCTGGCTGTAGGAAAAATGTAAGCCCTTTGTGGGTGTTTTTTTTTTTTCTTTCTTTTTTTTTTTTCCTTCAGAGTATCCTTACAATCTCTTACTAACTCACATCTGAATATTAACCGAGTTGCCTACAGGATGCCACAAAATCCCTTTCCTTCACCTTCATATGGCTCTTAGCCTTTGGGTTAGAGATTCTCGTACAGATTTGGATGAACAGACAGTGAGCACTCAAGAGTTGAAAATGTTTCATCACATTGCTATGGGTAGTGCAGGAAAGCCTTTAGTGGTGGGAACCTCTCCAGCAGTGTGAGCAGCATGGGAGATGATTCCTCCTGATGGTCATATCTGTTCCATTGCTCTAAGGAACCTACTTCTATGGTACAGAGTGCCTGAAAGTCGTTAAATATGCAGCATCAGCATGAAACAAGTTTTACTAGTGTGTTTGACCTACTTGTGAATGATTCAAGCAGGCCAGATTTTCACAAAGCTGAATATTAAGAATCTTCGAATAGATTGTGCAATATATGGAAAGGAGTCAGTGGATCATAGGAGGAACAGTGGAATATTTTCATGGGATTCCCATTGTGAATTCCATTGTGATAAACACACAAGACTAGCTTCAACTCGGTAGTCTTCCAAATTATTCTTGGTTTGGGTCAGACTTAAGACTATTTAAGTGCTAACGTTTCTGTTGAGCATGTCATGGCTATTATAGTATGTGATTTTCAGACTTCTTCGTACTTGATGTGCTACTTTTTGGTAATCATGTGCATCAACAGTTCTGCTACACATTAACATATTTCAAGGTTGTGTAGGAGTTATGTGCCAGAGGGAGTAAATCTAGCTATGTATATAAGGTAAATCACAAATGTGGATTATAAGTGCGAGAATCAGGGACATTCCATACCAAAATACTTTACTTGAGTCAAGTGCCCTATTTGAACAAATCCATTAGCTTATAGATATTGCAGGCTTTTATCCATTGTATGTATCATCTAATGAAGAGCTGAAATCAGATATTCTTATCCAAGTGATGCATATCCTTTATCTCAGAAGAAACCTGTCTCAACTATTTGATCTTTCCCCAGGCTTAATTCACCCTGCCTTTTTGTTGTAGGCTGAATTATCTGTGGTTATCAACAACAGAATTGGGATCCCTGTTGTCAAACCTACTAGCTTCTGTCCTTTAATGTAAAAGAGTAATTTTGTTAGCAGATAGCAGTCGAGGACATTGAAATAGAAAAGCTGCATATAGTTTATTTTCTGTTTTACACTTAAATTAAATATATTTATATCTGAATGGGAGGAAGTATTCACGTGTCTCTGAGGTTCAGAGGCTTTGGATAGTTATTCTGGTATATTTTTATGGGAAAGCCCATTTGGTGAAATCTTGTCCTCATTGCTGTCAATGGCCAAAACATCTGAGTTCAGCAGGAATTAGATGTGACTTTGAATTTCATAGTGACATGCAGGACTCTAGTTGTGTGGATTTTGCAAACTTTTGGGATTATTTAAGAATAAAAAATAAAATGATTCTGTTCCAGAAAATGAGTGTACTCTCAAACTCTTTTGTTGTTTTTTTTTCCTTGAACAATTTCTGCTCAAGACTTTTATCTTTCCGTAAGCAGATGTGGTTCTTAATCAGAGACTGCTCACTTGCTGGTAGAGTTAAGTAATTTTTATTAGCATATTAATGTATGATTAGCAGAGATAAGAATAATTACATCTCCTTTCTTTCCCTTTGCAGGCCCTCTACAATTCAATCAAGAATGAGAAGCTTGAATGGGCAGTGTAAGTATACTGCTTGGGATTTAGAAATTTAAAAAATAGTATCCGTGTAGTAATCTTTTTATAATTCCTACTTCAGTATCTGAGTAGGCTCCAAAGCCTGCAGAAAATAGCCAGTGTATGCACTCAGTTTGCTTTTCGGTTAATGAATGACCTGGCAATACTGCCTCATCTGTTTCTCCAGTGTGGAGAGAGTTAGTGATAGGAGCCAACTGCGTTTGTAAGAAAAGAGGACATTTCATTTAGTAGGAAACTGCAGCCTGAAAAGAGAGAAATTAAATCCTCCATTGTCCAATGACTGCATAAATAAAACAGATGTTGATTTCACTCTTTATCTTCCAGTACATTGTGTCAGAACCACTGAATAGAAACACACGTCTTGGATTGAGTTTCCTGCTGTTGGTTTATTGTCTTGGTTTGTCTTCTGATTAAATATGAATAACCTGACAACAGTCTGATACGAAAGATGATAAATTGAGCAGTCTGATATCTGCTGATACTAGCTGCTTGTGACAGGCTAACACATGTTAATTGCTGAAATACTGTGGATAAGAAAGAGCTTCTATTTCTTACTATGTTAAATTGACATTCCTCTGTGATTAGGTTTTATGTGGTGTGGGTATACCAGCAGTGAGTAGAAGAGTCTGCTTTAGATCTTGCCTCTCGAAGAGCAGTGGATTCTGGTATAAAATAGAGGAATGACATCTTTATTTATTTTGGCTGTACAGAATACTTGCCTGCGTGGATTTACCTGAAGCCTCACCTTCCTGAGACTACATGTATATGCATCTTTTGCTCTAGCAATCCTAACACTGCCACAAGTCCTGCAGGCCCACTGGTTTCTGATCTTCCAGAAGCTTTTAATTTTCAGGTGGCTCTCTTGTCAGGGCATAAAACCATGCCTGTAGGGGCTGTTAATTGCAACTGAGACTGGAGCCCCTGTTTGGAAGTCTGTTGGATAAATTTGGAGTCATGAGGAAGGAGTACTGGTAGTGAAGGTCACCAAGAAACGCAATGTCTATAGAGCCTTAAAAGAAGCAGAGTGAGTGCAAGAGTCTCACTTCTCACAACAGCAGAGCTCTTTGCAGGATACTGTCATAAATATTTTAGACCCAGCAGAATCTGCTGTATGACTTTCACGATCTCAGAATTTTCAGCTCTTTGCAGGAGACCGTATTGTGTCCACTGGGCAGCTTCCAGATAGGAACTGGCTCATACCAACCTGGCACTGCTCCCATTAGCTTCCATCAAGGTGATTTATAAGATAGCCTGGTCTTGTTTAGGCAATAACTCCTTTGGCATTTACATAGCCCAGTACATATCCCTTGATAATGAATTATTTTGAGGAAAAAAATGCAAAGCAAGCTGGAGGAAGGGGAAAACAGAATCTTAAATAAAACTTTGGGGTGCGGATATAAAGCAACTCAGAAGGATACTGGAACTGATGTGAAAATTACTGTGGTGAGAAATGAAGCTAATTCTTGACAAAGCTAAAGAAGTAGTACCTTTAACTAGCCTTAGGCAGCAGAGATCTGTCTGGAAGAGGGCGTGTTAAGATGTCTCTCCTTACTATTAGACAGCTCTCTGCTGATGTAAAGTAACTCTAGAGAGCCTTAAGACTGCCTGAACTGAAGGGAGAAGACACATTACTTTCTCTCGAAGAGAAAGGTGGTGGGAATGAGATGTGATCAGTTTTGCTGTGACAGATCCGGGATGATCTTCACAGATCTTCTTTCCAAAGAATATCCGTTTGCTTTCCCTGACGGAGTTGGCTGGCAGAGAAGTGAGGCAGTGTGGAAATAGGACTGCAAAGCCTCAGCAGAAGCTGCCTCGTGACCCCGGTGTGATGAAGAAACACCTTTCCTCTAGTGAGAATAACCTTGAACCTCTAAGATTCTTATTTATGAGCTAGGCAACAGTTTAAGAGTGTCACCATCAATGCGTTGTTGGGGGATTAATGACCATCAGTAAATCCTTAGGCAAGGGAGCCTAATGGTGTTGAGTGTGATGGGTAGAACTGTCACCTGATCCTTATCTCTGTAGTTACAAGCTAGACATATCATCATCCTAGATGGGTCACTGTCCCTTTCTAGTAGAATTACAGTGTGGTCGTAAGCCCACTAAGAGAAAAGACTACCATTGATTCCAATTCTGTAGTCAACAGCAGTGGCATCTTAATCAGCAGATGTGCTCCTTATTTATTTCCTCAGGCGTTCTGTAGGAGGAATATTTTTTCATACTTTATGAATAAAGAAACATGAAAACAGCTCTGGAAAATTGCACTGCAGCTCTTCTTCTGCAGTAGTTCTAGTTTTGAGTTCTCCAAAATGTTAAAAGCAAGTCAGTAGCCATGATCTGTAAAACAAATGGATCAGACTCTGAATTCATGAAGTAGATGTAGATATGGAGAGCACTCTCCTCCAGATCCCAGAGTTTTTGTTTACTTTTCACAATAGAACTGCCAAGAAATGTTCTGCCATTTACTTTGATTATTTGCTATTTCCTCTTGCCTTTATAAAAGCAGCATAGGAAAATTAACACATCAGATATGACTTTTCTGTTTCTTATCCTGTTCCATATTTCTTTTGTACAGAATACTGTTCTAGAACTCTCCTGTGTGTTGTACTGTGGTTCATTTCCTCAATCACAAGTCAAACATAAAGTAGCAAGGAGAAATCACTGAAATATTGGTAGAAATTCCTACTTACCACAGTGAATCTAGTTAATTACCATTAGTCATTGTTTCATCCACTTAGTCTAATATCCTGATTTCAGTGTGCTGATGTCACAAGAACCCTAAGTTGGTGCAACTTAGCCATGATTATTGTGTTGTAATTTCTCATGCTTCTTAAACTTCGCCAAGGCTTGTGATTTTTTTCATAAGATTTTTCATGATTACCTCTTGTTCTGCTCTGCATCTCCTCTAAGGCTAAATAAATTCAAGACTCTGTGAACAGTTATGTTGAGGACAGATAACACTGAGAAGAAGGACCTGGATGTATTCTTCTCAGGCTGTAAGGGCTGTTGCAAAGGAGAAAGGTGTGAATTATTCTTCATGCCCGTTGTGGGTGGGCTTATGTTTTAAAGAAAGGAAGTTTGAATTTAACATGAAGAAAAACTTTCTATCAATAAGCCTTGTAACCCTGGAAATAGCTTTGACAGTACAAGCTACGTATGTTTACTCACTCAGGTTTTCATGAACTATTTGAGCAAATATCAGAAAGATAATGGATTAGGAAAGGTGGGTCCAACCTTGGAGCCAGAGAGATAGATTAGCTGATATTTTAACATCCCTTCAATCCCATTGTCTACAGTTTTACAGCCCAGGTTTTGTAGGTGTTTCTCTTCCTTTGGCTTTTGCACCAGTTATTGCCAACTGGAAGGTGGATAAGCAAAAGGAGTTTGATTTCAAAGAAGCCAGAGCTGAATGTTTGATTTATGTGATGTCTGCATGGAAATGCAGCAGTGAACTTTGTTGTTCTCCTTTATTTGTAATATTATGTCTGCTTCCTGTTGCAGACAATAGGAGTAATAAAATAACCATCTTAAAATAGACAGAGTAGTGATCTAGAATTAATACATGAAATCCCAAGTTGCTCCTTACAGAATCTCAGTAACCAAAGGCTGCATTTGAGCTAGTCATAACGTGATAGCTTCCTCCAAGCAGGACAGTACAGCTTTCAAGTTTCCCATGGTCTATGACCAATTGATGACACAGTTTTCTTTCCACAGAAGTTCAGTCATGAAAACACTAATCAACTGCACTGAAAAATCAACTCCTTTGAGCTAGACAGAAATAAGTTTTTTGGTATTACTTTGAGACAGTAATACTGGAGAAGAACAAGGCTATGGAAAAAGGTTTCTGCCGAATTACTTCTGAGTTTCCTGTTACAAACTGGAATGCTGAGATGGGCTGATTGTAATGACATCTGTGTTGAAGCTCAGATTTTTCTAGGTGAAATCCAGAAATCTCTCCCCATTATGACTGCCTTTTTTTTTTTTTTTTTCCCCCCCCCCCTCAATGTCTAGGATGTTTTCTGTTTGCAAACTAATTGATTTTATAGACAAGTCAAGTGGTGGCTGCTTGGCTCTTGTACAATTAGGCTCCAGCCCTTCTGGCAGCACAGGTGAATTGCCTTCACCTGTGCTCCTCTGGCTGACTCATTGCTCGCCTCGGGTGATCAATCGGAGGTTCAGGCCATGATTCAGCAGTTTCCATACAGCTCTCTTTTCTTCTGTCCTCTATTTGGGAAATATGTCATTGGAAACTTCTTTCCACTGGTTTCTTAAGTCGAGCTCCTGATTGTAAAGTTATCCATCCAATAGTTTTGTATAATTATATGCTACAAATATGAATATTCTTTTAAATTTGATGTAATTCTTTTAAATTAATGTGGTCAGTCTTTTGCCTAGCCATGTCATGTAAGTTTTCTACTTGAACAAATGAGAAGAAAAATGGAAGGTTTGACCATATCTTTCCTGTTGAAAGTATTTTCTAAGGCAGATCCTCAAATCAGACTACAGAGCAGTTCAGAAGTGTTTTTGTTACTGATAAAAGTGGATGTTGTTTTCCTCCAAGACCCCAAAACCACGTTGTGTGGCAGCATCTTTATTTCTGGATATGTTTCAAAACTGTTTTTAAGAGGCAGGCATTTTCTATGGTTGTTCTAAGATCAAGCATGTGGGAAACTACTCTTTCAATTCAGCATCTTCAAATGGGAGAGCAAGCAGATTGTTGCTTTGGTTGTGCTGCTTCTCAGGAGAAACCAGTGGTATGATTTATTGTTCTGTCTGCAGATCCTTTTCCAAGGAGATAATATAAAGGAAGATGAAGCTTAAGCTCTTCCTTTTGCAGATGTCAGTTACCATAGGGAGAGTCTTGGAGAAGCACTATTAGAAGCCTTTTCTTGTCACCAGTATTCTGCCAAGCTGAGATTATAGTAGTCGCTTACCATCCTTAGCCTCCACAAGAGGATTTACAACCATTAGCCTCTTTCAGTCCT